GCCGCTCACGGCGGCTGCTGGCCACTCTCCCTGGCTGCTGGCCACACACAGTAGCTCATGGCAACCCACTGCAGCAGGGCAACTCAGGGCAGCCCAGCTCCAGGTTGAGCTGTTGTTCAGCATCTTAGCTGTAGAGGGCAGTGTCTCTGGCCCTCATATGTGAGATCCGAACCGGGGCCCTCTGGTGTCCCAAGCCAGCTCTTAACCAACGTGCCACTCTGCGGACCCTAAATATTATTATTATTATTTTTTTAACTGAGCTATAGAAATTCAGACTATTTCTCATGTTGCTCTTTAAGATTTCATTGCTATTTGCCAAGCAGACAGAACTGGAGCAGGGCAATTTTCATTTTTCCCACTGAAATATTGTTCTTAACTACTTAGGTACTTTTATGTAAATATCAAGATGATGATAAAAGCCAGCTGTTGAACATACAGTGTTAGTGGTGGACAAGACTTAGTTTCTGAGTTCAGGAGAAATTTTTCTAACATGATGAGATTATATTAAATTAAAATATATCAGAGTTGTTTTTTCAAGGCTTAGGGTAGTGAAAGACAATTAAATTCTTAAGAATAAGTACTATTAGTAGTATACATTCTCTTTATTCTTAGGATGGCTTGAATTTCTTCATATTAGGTCTTTGTTTAAATATAATAGAGACTTCCCATCGTAACTCACATGAGTGTCCCTGTCTGTCCTCTGTTCCTTGTTTGCTAGTCTTTCTTAGAACTTTACATATATACATATTTGTTTATTTGGTTTTAGTCTGTCAGTCCTATCAGAATATAAATTCCTTGAGAACAGGTCCTATATTGAGCTTGTTCACAGTTATATCCTAGCTGCCTAGCATAAAGCACATAGAATTCACTCTAATGTGCTGAATGAAACTTACCACCTTTTTGTGAAGAGCATTATTTGAAACAAAAAAAGCTTTAAAATATGCATTTAAAAAAAATTTCCAGTTTATATGTAAACTGAGGGATTGATTTTGAGCCTTGTTAATTTTGGGTGACATTTTATATAAACTTTTCCTTTGTGTTAGATGGAAATGTAAATTTACAGAATAACAATTTTAAAAACCCCACACCAACACATTACCCACATTTGCCCATGTTCCTTACATAACTTGAGAGCTTTGGTTTTTTTCCCTAACACTAAGTTGAAGCCTGGCAGCTTGGGCCTAATTTACAAGGCACTAAGTATGTAATTGGAAAAGAGTGAGGGTGCTCTATTTCAAAACTTAATTCCAAAAATCCAAGTCAGACGAAATCGACCCGACATTTCTAAGGGTTTGTCCCAAGAATCGAACTCCTTCTCCTCTGGTACTCTAGCCAAGTTGGCCGACTGCCCCTGAGTACTGGACACAGCCTTGTTTCTCGATTTTGGATCAGGCTCACTTCCAGTTGTTAGCGACTGTGTGCGCGTACCAGACTGTGTGGACTCAAAGGTGCGCATTTGGGGCGTAGCCGAGCCGTTTAAACTAGCGAATCCGCGTTCACCTAATCCTTCCAACTCTACCTCATCTCAGCATCTGCTCCAGGGGTTTGCACGGATTCCCGTGTCCTGACCTTCTTCCTCCCTTATCCGGGGTGCCTGGACAACTCGAGGAGGGGTGAGGATAAAGTTGGAAAAGCTGAACTAGATCAACAATAGAGCGCTGAGACGCAGTTGGAGAGACACTTCAGCCGCCGAAGAGGGAGGCAAGTTGCACCCGCGTGAAAGGGGCGGGCCAGCTCGGGCCACTCGCATTTCCTGTGACAGGGGCCGCCCCAGCCTCTCACTCTCCCGCGGCGGCGGGACCATTTCCTGAATCGCTGAAGCGGAGGGAGGGCTGGGGTGCGGTCCTACCATTAGCGCAAAGGGACGGGGGGGCATGAAAGGAAAGGTTGAAGGACGAGAGGTTGACCAAGAATACAGAAGTTCCATGGGGGTTCAGATTCTCAAATAACATTCGGAAAGAAGACGCTTGTGGGCCAGAGCTCCTCCTTTAGGCCAGGCCGGCCTCCTGTTTGTTCGACACTGGAGCATCCCCCCTCCCCGCATTCCCAAAGTGGTTCAGCCCGAGAGGCCGGCGTCTTTCCCCCAGTTTGCTGTTCACCCGGTGCGCTCGGGACTTGCCCGTAGTGGTGACGGAGGCAACATGTCTGTGGCGTTCGCAGCCCCGAGGCAGCGAGGCAAGGGGGAGATCACTCCCGCCGCGATTCAAAAGGTGAAACCTCGCGGGGACGGGGATGCCAGGCCCATCCCGCCTTTGGAAGAGACCCCCGGGGGCCGGGCGGGAGTCGGTCGGGCTGGGGGCGGAGGCGGGCCTGTTGGGAGGCGGCCGTGTGGGAACCTGAGCCACGGGCTGTGCCTGAGTGGGTGGCGGAAGACGGCGAACTGGTTCTCTCACCGAGTCCTTCGCGCATTGGGGCTTTTTCCTACAGGCACAAAAGCCCAAGTAACCACCTCCAGATTTCTCTAGGGATGGGGCGGCGTTCGGGCTGAGGGGCGCGTGCGCCCGGCGGCGCTGGTCGCGCGGGTAAGGGCTGTTTGTCAGAGCCGGCGCCCCCCGCGGCCCCGCGAGTCGCTCCGGAGTTACTTTGGCGTCGCCCCGCCCAGCGCACCGTGGCTACTTGGTGCAGACAGGACCTCGGGTCGCTGGAGGCCGAGGGGAAGTCGCCGCCCTCAGCCGCGCTGCAAACTCCAGCCGACTTGCGGAACTCCGAGGAGAACTTGGGGGACGCTGCAGGGAGCCTTAGTAGAATCAGAGGGGCGGGCGAGAGAGAGCCCTGTGGACTTCGGGGTTACCTTCGGAGTCCCCTTTTCCATTCCGGATTCACCCCATATCTGTTTATGTCTGCAGCAAATGTTGAGCGCTGCGTCTAGGTACTGAGGCTACAATGGTGAGCCATGGCTCCTGCCTTCATGGAGTTTACAGTCTAGTGGTAGAGACAATGTGATAATTATGATCAATTACAGAAGACGTGATAAATACCCCGGGAGTCGCGTCTCTTTTAGAGAGTAGTGCTGTCTCTTGTTGCCGTGTTACCGCCAGTTAGGGACGCAAGGTTCTTTATTGTCTTCTACTATGGTTGCCTATGATCAGGGCAGCATTCTGAATTTTACTCAGCTGGACTTTGAAAAGTTACTAAATTTCGTAGTTTACCTTAAATATTTCGATTTTGTTTTATGCACTGGAGTAAGGATGAAAGTTGAAAGAGAGTCAGTTTTTTAGTACTACTCAGGGCAACATCGTGGATAGTACTACTACAGTAGTACTACATCGTATGCCCGATAGATTTGTTAATCAGCTTCTGTTTACTGTCAGGTTCTTTGTAGTGTGGCATTTGGCATTTACTGGCTTTATTTTATGAACAAACCGGCTTGGCAGTGCCTGGGTGCTGTATATTCATATAGGGCATTGAGCTAACTAAGTCTGCAGTCTGGCGGACAGCTCCAAGAACATACACGCAAAACATGTTTTTTGGGGGGTTGGGAATGGGATTCACTTTTTGTTTTTGCACTATAGGAAAATCCTGAGTTTTTCTTTTTTTTCTACAGTTTTTCTTACATCTCAAGAAAGTTCTCATGGGTGATTAGTTCAGGAGATGCTGATCAATTAAGTTTTTATCCTCAGATGAGAAGGCAAAATGGATTCCAAATTAAGTGCCTCATTTTACAGTATGAGGGATTGATTTTAGATATGAGACAGTTATTCTAACGATGAAGTTTGTTAGGCTGAGAAATCTACAGAGAAGATATGTTGTGAAATGGTTAAATTGTACTAATGCAGTATAAGGACAATTTTTTTTGGCATCCAGTGAGTCTATGTAAGAAATAACTGCACTTTTTGGAAGTGCATGTTAGTTTTTTTTTCCAGCAAGTGAAGATTATGATGCAGAAAAAGGTCGCAGTTAATGTTAAATGGATCTTCGGTTTTAATTACTAGAGTTATATTAACTAAATTATTGAGATAGAGTGATTATGGTATTCTACTTCATGCTTTCATTGAATCCCGGAAAGGTGGGGCAAGTACAGGAGGAACAGCTTTACTCCTGTCCCTTGATCTTTCAGATAAATCTGAAATCTTAAGTGGTTTGAACGGGATAGCAAAGCTGGCACTAAAACTAGCTGGCTTTTTAATTGCTACATGAGTATTTTCTCAATGCCACTTTGCTTAGATGAATTATTTAATCCTTAAAGCCAGTATTGCTTTAAATTGCTATAAGATGATAAATGATAAATCAGTATGCTTTTGTTTTTAAACTTTTGGAACAACTGAATTATAAGGTAAGTCTGCAATAAGTTTATTATACACAGATAGAAATTATTGTATGTAATTATTTCATATTTGGAGAATCACAAAACCATACTGTGTAAAAAACTTGGAAACTAGCCAGCGAGGCCTCAAGTGCCCTGGGCTGAAGTTTTCATGTATTTACTTCATTGTGGATAAGGACAATTTTCTTTACTACTAAAAAGCATTAGAATGATAGAAAGCTAACTTGGACATAATTTTTAGTCTTAACAGGCTAAAGCTTCTATTACATATATAGCAGAGGTAATTAAGTTTTTGAATACAAAAGAAACTCCAAATTTTTCCTTCTGTGCTGCAGGTAATAACTAAAAGGGAGAATAATTGGAAAAGAGTTATTAAAAAAATTGTTGATTAACCATGACATTCCAGAGGTGTAAAATAAGATTTAAAAGACCCGAGTAGATTCAGTTTCTGTATAGATAGACATTTCTAGACATCTGAAGGGCTTTTAAAAATTTTACTTGAGGGGCCGGCTGACTGGCTCAGTTAAGATTCGATTCCCACATGGGCCAGTGAGCTGCTGATGGGCAGCCGGATGGCGACTGGGCTTGGAGCTTAGCTAGCTGCGCCCTCCACAACTAAGATTAAAGGACAACAACTTGGCTATTCCCGTTCCCCAATTCCCCAATAAAAAAAATCTTTAAAAAAATTTTACTTGATAACACTAGACTTACAATAAACTTTTTCCAATTTTATTTCAGATGTTGGATGACAATAACCATCTTATTCAGTGTATAATGGAATATCAGAATAAAGGAAAGACCTCAGAGTGTTCTCAGTAAGATTGATATGAAATTTTTTTTTTAATTTTCATTTTTTGTGTTCGTTAACTTTTTACTTTTCTTTTTAATAGCAGCTTTATTGAGATATAATTCACATACCATACAATTCACTCATTTTAAAGTGTATAATTCAAGTGTTTTAGAATATTGATAAGAGTTGTACTACCATTACTTCAATCAATTTTAGAACATTTTTGGTATCCCGACAAGAAACTATACACATCAGCAGTGACTCCCCATTTCTACCACCTAATTCCTCACCCCTTGACAACCACTAACTTTTCCGTCTGTGTAGATTTGCCTGTTGTGGACATTTCATATAAATAGATTCATACAATATGTGGTCTTTTTTTACTGCTTTCACTTAGCATATTTTCAAGACTCATGCATATTGAAGCATGTATCAGGACTTTCTTTTTATTGCTGAATCTTCCATTGTATAGCTGTGCCACATTTTATTTATCCATCAGTGATAGACATTTGGGTTGTTTTCACTTGGCTATTATGAATAATGCTACTGTGAACATTAGTGTACAATTTTTTTGTGTGACTTTTCTTGATTTTTACAGAAGAAAATTTTCTGTGGGATGGAGTGGGTATTAATTTTTTCTTATGCTTATCTTGCATTATAAAATAATGACTTCAAATTTGCGTGTAGTCTGATTTGTGGAAAAGTTAAATTTTCACATAGGTAGGCTATTTAGTTATATCTGTGTATGTGATTGAGAAACAGCACCATCCAGTAGAAATAATGAGGGGTGCCAAAAAAATGTATGCACATGACTTGTATTCATCTTTTGTTATCGGTATATATTATTACAATCTTAATACAGTTTTTTCCTTTCTTAAAATGCGTATACATTTTTTTGGCACCCTCTGTATATTGCGAGCCACATACGTAGTTGTATATTTGCTAGTTGACACATTAAACAAGGAAAAAGAAACAGGAGAAAGTAATTTTAATAATGTACTCTATTTAACTCATCATTTCCAAAATATATCACTTCAGTATGTAATCAAAATAAAATATTAATGAGATAGTTTACATTCTTTTGTTTCATACTAAATCTTTGAAATCTGTGCTTCTTATTCTAATAATATCACTTTGCACTAGCCACATTTCAGTGTATCTAGTGGCTACTATTTGGACAACAGTGCTTTAGAGTGTTTTATTCTCACTGTCATTTTGGGACATAATTGTCTTATAGGGATCTCACTGGTCTGCTCTCAAGATAAGATACTGCATTTAGTTATCAAGTATCTTCAGTATATTTTAATCTGGAACTGATCTTCAGTCTTTCTGGTAACTTTAACAATGTTAATTAACATGGTTAAAGAGTACAGAGCTGTTACTTTGTGGAATGCCTCTCATTTTGTATCTGACTGGTGTTTCCCCTTGATTAGATTCACATTATTCACTTGGCTGGAGTATCACAGATATGATGTTGTGTCCTTCTCAGTGCATCCTCAAGTAGCCATATGATTTGTCCCAGCATTTGTCTCAATATTTTTGATAACTTCGTTCATTTTGATAGTGCCTGCCAGTTTCTCCACTGTAAAGTTAGTATTTTTTTCCTTATAATTTTTATGTATTTTGTTGGGGAGATACCTTGAGACACACTTTTGCTGTTTCTTATACTTTTACACTTTAATTTTAGCATCCACCAATGATCTTTACTGAAACAGTTATTACTATAGTGGTTGCCAAATGGTATGTAAATCCACTATTCCTTCTACATTTATTTGGAATCCTACTGTAAGGAAGAAATTTCTTGTTCCTTGCCCCATTCATTCATTAATTTATTTATATCTGAGTGGACTTAGGGGTTCTTCTTATAGTCTCGTGGTTATAATCTGTTACTCTATTTTCTTTCTCAAATTGTCCTTGATGTTGGCCACTGGGAGTCCCTCAAGCTGGCTTTTTGCTGTGTCTCCATTATTTTTTGAGAATTTTCTTATTTTTTTGCACCACAAAATGTTCTGGGCTTATCTTGTACTTTTTCCTGCCCCAGTTTGGAATCACTTGTTTCTTCAAGCTCTGGTTCATTTTTTTTGGAGAATGATATTTTAGAAACTTAGGTCTCAGTGCTAGGATATGTTATTTTCTAATCATAGCACATTGTACATTTTATACGACCATTTTCTTTTTTTTTTTTTGTATATTGTTTCTTTGATGAATCTTGTCTGTTTATATTTGAAAATACTCAAAAAACTAGCTGATCTACTTCCTTAATTTAAGTATGGATAATCATCAGTGGTAAGGAAATCACTATCTCAAGTTAGCCATCTGATGGTAAAAGTTTAGAGGTTCTAATTAGTATTATTTTCACCTATGGCTTTTAAAACTCTAGATCAGGGGTCAGCAAACTGCGGCTCGCAAGCCGCATGCGGCTCTTTGGATATGTTCCATCTCAAAAGTTTGCCTACCCATGGAAGAGCCAATCCTGTCCCTCAAAACAATTTAAAAACTATTCGAAAGCCATAAATATATTTTTACATAATCACAATTATGTGAATAATATCCTGTAAAAATTGTATAATTGAAACTATAATGGTTTTCATTTTCAATTTTACTTCAGAGCCTGCGGCTCGCGAGCCGCAGTTTGCTGACCCCTGGCGGCTCTTCCGTCTCAAAAGTTTGCGGAGCCCTCTTTAGCTAGAGTCAAGGGGTTCTGTGGCTTTAGCTCTGGTTCATTAAGGAACCCAGCAGCACATGGCGTGGGTAGGAAACACTCAGTTCTAGAACCAACTTTTCCAATTTGAGTCAGCAAAAGTTTATACTGTTTTATTGTTCATATTCTTAGCTTTTTTGTGTACATATGATCATTTCCCCCATTCTTTACATATTGGAATAGACCTAATTTTCTCACATATTTGGTACAAGTGGGGCTTAAAATTGACTTAGGTAAAATCTTAAATTCTGCTCTTTCTGATGGATTTCACTTCATTCTTAGAGTTCTTTAGTTATTCTTTTCTCAAGTTGTCAGGATTGGTTTGTGAATGAAGAGCAAAAAAAAATCTCTCAACCTTAATAAATGTTCGTTTCTTGTATTAGTAGAAGTAAAAGGAAAATAAAGAGGAACGTCAGTAAATTACAGCCATTGAATTAATGGTTCAGTTTTAATTCTTAAGATGTGTTAATTTTTCCTGGAACTTTTTTTAATTGAAAATAAGTTTATTTTTATGAAATCAGTATATGCATTGTAGAAAATTAGAGAAAACGCATACGTAAAAATGAGATCATGCACTGTATCCTTGCCACCCAAACATTTTACACTGGTGACATCTTTGTATATATTGCTCTTTATATTTTTATCTACATTTACACAGTTATTCGTATATTACACTCATATATGTCAGTAAATCAACTGTGGAGCTCATATGCACAGATCCTCTTCTCTTTAAATTCTGATAACATATGTATGAGAATGATTGCTCTTTTGTGCCGTTGGTTTGAGCATTTTCTAAATCAATCTATATATTGACTTAAATCAGCCCCTTATTTTTTTGTATTTGAGTGCAACTATTTCAGAGTGTGCTATCAATAATTTGCAATAAAAAATTGTGTCTTCATCATAACAAAGGAATATAGTTTTAAATCCCTAGTTATAGAAAGACGTTTATTCTATAAATTGTATTCTTGTTGTCTTATAAACACAATCATCATAGCTTCTAGGTAATTTTTTTTAATGAAATCTGGCTTCAGATTCTTTTTTTAATTATATCAATAAATTTAATAGTGGTTGTTTTACCTTATTCAAGGTAATTGATGTAGCGGCTCTTAGTGGAATCTTTGGAAAGTGAACTGCCTCATTTAATAAGTTAATGATGGGTGTTTTGGAATCATCAAACAAAATGTTGAATATGTTTTATATCTGCTCTTAGCTTATATATTCTATTTTGTTTTATTAATGGAAGCTATTTTAGAAATCAATACATTAAAATAAACTATTTCAGTGACAAATGTAATACTATTTATAAATAAGTGTTTCAGGAAGATGTTTCTTTACTATTTGTAGAAGATTCTACTTTTTATTATTTTAGTAGTCTTAGCTGAAGCTAGATTTTTCTAGAATATTTATTTAGTTTTTTTGTTTTTAGGTGACACAAACACAAAGAATATGAGTATATAGTATTTTCGTTAATGTTCATCTTTGAGCTTTGACTAAGCTTATTTCAATGCTGTAAAAATAACAGTTTTACACAAAATAAAATCCACTGAAGTTAGAAAAGGCTTTAAAAATGATAATTTTTACCTGTTCCCTTACATTAGGTAAAACAATTTGAGGCTATTGGGACAATTGGAGAAATTTGAATGGGTTCTGTGGATTCTTCTACAAATCTCAAACATTAATTTCCTCATTATAATGGTTGTACAGTGGGTATACAGGAGAATGTCCTTGTTTTGGGAAATAGACACTGAAGTATTAGTAGTAATGGGGCATAATGTCTGTAACTGACTCAAATAGTTTTGAAAAAAAAATTTGCTTGCATGTGTGTATGTTGGTGTATGTGTTTAGGATGGAATAAGACAAACGATAAAATGCTAATGATTGGGGAGTGTGGGAGAAAGATATTTAGGAGTTCTTTATATTCTTGAAACTAAGTTTGAAGTTATTTCAAACTTAAAAGTTAAAAATAGGGTTGGAGAAATGGCTTAAAATTAAAGTACTCAATAAAAAATGCTGTACTTGTAGATGTTTAAAACTAGAAGGGGCTTTGATATCTACTCTGACTCCCATTATTTTACAAATGAGGCTTTACAGAGCGTGGCAGATTAGATTTAACAGTACCGGTATTTTAATATTGGCTTATTAAGTATTAATCAGCATTAGCATGACTAAAAGTTTTTCTTAAAGGGTCGTGAGTAAACCATAGTCTCTTAGTTAGGTTTTGGTATTTTTATTTTTGATAGGGTGGACAGCAAATCTCATATCTGAGTATATTACAAGCATCCTTGTATTATAAAAAAGGAAAACTTGAAGGAGTAGACTTTGAAATGGGTGTTCTTATTAAAAATGCTTGGCTGACTTTAAAAAAAATGGCAAGATTGTGGAACCTTGTATTACTTAGATTGTATTGACAATATCTATAGAATAATAAAATAGTTCCAGCTAGTGGTGTCTATTGGTGCTGTTTGAAGAATTTCAACAACATAATTAACTGTTATGAATAATTCAGTACAATGTGTTGGGTTTCGGAAAAGTCATGACGTATTTTTTCTATGTTTTTTGTTGCAAAAATGTGTGATGACTTTTCCGACAACCCAATTATAATTCTTGGCCCTTGTTTATATAAGGATCACTATAACAAAGACTATGTCAGGTCTGATTGAGCAATATTACAGTGGATATGTGAAGGAGGAGCATTAAAAGCACAGACTTGTTTTTAAACAACAAAAAACAAAAAGGGAAACAAGGAAACTTTGGGAAGTGTTGGATGTCTATTACTTTGATTGTGGTGATGATATCACGAGTATTTGCATATGTCCAAATATCAAATGATATACACTAAATATGTGTGCTTCTTTGTATATCAGTTATACCTGAATAAATTTTGGGGGGAAAAGAGCATAAACTTACTAGTGAGGAAACTTCAAGGTCACTGAGATATAATTTTTTTTTTCCCCTAATAAAATGTAGTGAAACCAGTTGTTTCTAACAGGAAAAAAAATGCATTAGAGTTTACTAGGATTTCTCTTATGGTGTCTGTTTTAGAAAATTATTTAATCTGGGATCTATATTAAAAGACTTTATTCAGCTGCATAAAGTTCTTTTGATTTATTTTCATTATTTTAATTTGTATTTACTATTTCTTAGTAAATGAAATTCTAAAACAACCTAACAATTCAATGCAGGATATATGTTTGTATATTGAGGGATTACAAACACTAGTAATTGGACTGCTACTGTTATAATTTTAATCTGGTATCATCTTAGTTAAGTTTTTAAATTATGAAGAGAGTTTTAGCAAAACTAATTCATAAGCAAGATTACTATAAACGTGTTTAACTACTTCACTCTAGTAATAAGAATCTGCTTTATTTCTTAAAGTTAATCTTTAATGGTGTCCTATTTTCTCCATCTCTGTGCTTTAGCATATATAGATAAATATGTACTGTATATTGTAATTGAAGACAATTATTCATTGTCTTTTCTCTATGCTGAGTCCTAACAGATGGGCAGTATAACCACGGCAGGCATAAATTGTTGGTCAGTGCTACAACAGTGACAAGGGAAAAAAAAATGTAGTTTCCACCTCCTTCCTAACATTTTAGCAGAGCATGTTGACTGTTCATGGATTTGAAGCTTTTGGCAACATGAAAATGGCAGAGGGAAGGGAATAAGGATATTAGTTTCACTGAATTCCATCATTCTAGACCAGGGGTCAGCAAACTTTTGAGACGAGAGAGCCAATCCTGCCTCTCACAATTTAAAAATTTTTTGAGAGCCATAAAACAAATGAAATCACCATTATGTGAATAATATTTAAAAATTTTGTAAATGAAACTATGATAGTTTTTTTTTTTTTTTTTTTAGCTGAGCCATCCTGCCACCTCAGCGGCAGCTCAGCTAGGGCGGGACTCGAACCACTGTTGCTCAGAGCTCACACTCTTGAGCGAGCTCTTAACTAACTGAGCCACTCGGCCCAATAGTTTTATTTTTATTTTCGATTTTACTTCAGAGCCACATGTTCGTACCCAGTGAGCTGCATGTGGCTCACAAGCTGCAGTTTGCCGACCCCTGTTCTAGAACTCTTAAAACACACACACCCACACACCCGGGGGGGTGCCAAAAAATGTATATACGTGGACACTTTGGTCAGCGTTGCTCAAGCAGTAGTTCACCGTAATCAGAAGTGTCTGGATGCTGACGGTAACCTCTTTGAGCACCTCTTGTAATTGCAGAAGTCAAACGTGAGTTGTATTCATCTTTTGTTATTGGTGTATATTGAGTATTACAATTTTAATACAGTTTTCCTGTCTTAAAATGTGTATACATTCTTTTGACACCCTCTGTATATAATGGTGTGATCAAAAGATATGATGAATGTTTAAATAAAATAAATTTATTACAATAAAAGACACATTGCCATTAATCCCTCTGAAACTGCTCCCCCTCGCTTTGAACACACTTATCCCATCGTTCTTGCCGCTTTCTGAAGCAGTTCTGGAAGTCCTATTTCGTGAGGAGACACGCTCAGGTGCACTTGTGGCTGCCTGGATGTCCTGAATTGATTCAAAACGTTTTCCTTGAATGGGCATTTTGACTTTGGCGAAGAGCCAGAAGTCACATGGTGCCAGATCCGGTGAATAAGATGAGGACACTCCGTAATGTTTGTATTTGACAGAAATTGCCGTACAAGAAGCAGTGTGTGACACAGCGTTGTCATGATGGAAGATGAAGTGAAGACACTCATGAAAGAGGACTTCCAGAACTGCTTCAGAAAGTGGCAAGAATGATGGGATAAGTGTGTTCGAAGTGAGGGGGTGTATTTTGAGGGGGATTAATGGCAATGGGTCTTTTACTGTAAGAATTTTTTTTATTTAAACATTCACCGTGTCTTTTGATCATACTTCGAATGTATACAGTGTATGGAGCGAGTACATATCTCAGTTATTCCCTTTACTAAGCTATGCAAGCTTGTACAAGTTACTAACCTTTCTAAATCTGTTTCCTCATCTGTAAAATGGAGAAAATAAGAACTTTTACCCCATAGTGTTGGCCTGAGGATTAAATGAAATATATAAAAATATAAAATGAACTATAACAATATCTAGCACATGGTAACAGCTCAGAGTTTATTATCATTTTTGAATGTATTATTTGGAATTATTTTGCAGAGGAACTAAGAACAAATGAAGTGCTATTGCTGTTCAGGTAACACATCTTTTATTAAACTTGAGAAATGATTAGAATGGTGTTTGTATTTAAGCAGATAGAAAGAAATTTATTTTTTAATGTTGATATTTGTTTTGTTTTAATAGGTATCAGCAGATGTTGCATACAAACTTGGTCTACCTTGCTACAATAGCAGATTCTAATCAAAATATGCAGTCTCTTTTACCAGCAGTAAGTACCTTTAGAATAATGTGACGTAGAGTTATGTGTGGTATTACGCATTTTTGTTTAGTGATTTTTGAGATTTGTTTAATAAGTCCTGTCCTTTTCTGAGACCATGAAGGTATTCACCTATATGATCTAAAAGCTTTAATGTTTGCCTTCATATTTAATTTAAATTAATTCATCTAAAATTGATTCCCTTCCTCAGGAAGTTATATCCATCTATCATTCACCCACAAACCCATAAACCTACCAACCTACCTAGTTATTTTAATCTGTAACTTCACAAATAGTTTATGAATAAATCTGTAATATTTCAAAGCAAATCCCAAACATTTTATAAGTATACTGGTAAATACTTCAATATATATCTTTATCAGAAAAGGACCATTATCCCACCAACAAAATTACCAAAATTTTATCAGAAAAGGACCATTATCCCACCAACAAAATTACCAAAATTTGTTAATATCTCATACCCAGTCTGTTTTCAATTTTCACGTATTTAAAAAAAAAATGTTTTAATGATTGGTTGCCACTGAATCCAAATAAGGTCCACATATTTCATTGGTTGATATGTCGTAAGTCTCTGTTCATCTATGTCAGTTTATCTTTTCTGTTTTCTGTTTGTTGAAAAAACTGGGTCATATATTGTGTAGAATATCTCACATTCTGGATTTGGCTGATTGTATCCTTGTGGGCCATTAACATGATCTCCATCTCACCTCTTATTTCCTCTAAACTGATAGACTTGATTAAAGTTAGGTTTAGTTTTGTGTTAAGAGTATTTCATTGGTGGTGCTGTGTATTGCCTATTGTATCACATCAGGAGGAACATGTTTGGTTGTTCCATTTATAGTAGTGGAAAATCTAACCTTAAATGATTTTTACATTTTTAAAAAAAAATTTTTTTATTTATTTTTTTGTTGGGGAATTGAGGGAAGGGGAACAGACAACTTGTGTCCTTTTGTTCTTCAGTCTAGTTGTGGAGTACGTTGCTTCACTGGCCCAAGTTGGTACCATCATTGCGCTCTTCCTGGGGGAGGCAGATCAGTCGCAGGCTTCTGGACAGCCGCTCACAGCAGCTGCTGGCCGCTCACGCTGGCTGCTAACTACACACGGTAGCCCAGGGCAACCCACTGCAGCAGTGACTGCAGCCTACGCCTCGCCGGTGACTCATGGCATCCCAGCTCCAGGTTGAGCTGTTGTTCAGCATCTTAGCTGTAGAGGGCAGTGTCACTGGCCCTTATATGTGGGATCCGAACCAGGGTCCTCTGGCGTCCCAAGCCAGCTCTTAACCAGTGCGCCACTCGGCTGGCCTGATTTTTACATTTTTGATGTGTTTAAATCCATTGCAGTCATTCTTTGATAGTCCATTTATCTCTTCTTCAGTCAGTGGAAGCCTCTTCATTCGGCTCCTGTGTCTTTCTGATATGATTCTAGTATTCTTGTGTAGTTTCTTTGCTTTCAGGATTTGAGAGCGATATAAGATGATTATATTTTCTGTCCCGGAATTATTCTGCTTCAGCTATTTTTCCAAGCAGTCCTTTTTCAATGAGAATTGATATTTAGAGATCATAATTTGGATGTTTGGGGCATTCATTATTACTGGGTTTTCATTGTTTGTTAGGTATTTTTAGTGGATAGAAATAGTAAACACATTTTTTAGAAAAAGCAATAAAATATTTAATTAGTGATATTTCCTCTTCAGGAAAGATTTTTTCACTTAGCTTTGATTTTATGTATTAGTATCTCTTCTGTCCCACTCTAGAAACCTTGGTACCTTCATGACATTATTATAGTTGTTAATTTGCTATATACTATATATTTAAAAAATTTTTAATATAACGATACCAAGTTTACTACTAATAAGATACTTGTCCTCCAGATATATCTCACTGAGGATACATCATCAATAAATTTTGTTTGAATCTGAAATAATTCTTTATGTGATTATTGACATGAATTTGGTTTCCATTTAGGTAGAATTTATTTTTATGAATGGTGTGAAGAATAGGTTCAATTTCATTTGTTTCCATATACATAGTTCTCTGTCCCAGCTTTGTTTACTGGAAAAACAAAAATATCTCTATTTTGTCATGGCACGTATATTATATATCAGGTGTCCATGTATATGTGAGTCTACATCTGCTCTCTATTCTGTTCATTAGAGTTTGTTTTTATAAATTCCACTATCTTGTCACACTTGTCATAGTTTTAATATAAATATTGATATTAGAGAAGTTCTTCACTTATTCTTTATTTTTTTCATAATATCTTGGCTATTGGTGCTTTAATTTCAGCATGTCCAACATAATCCTGTTGTGATTTTCATTGAGATTACCTTGACTCTAAATCGGTATGGGGAAAATTGATATTTTTACAATAAAGAGTCTTTCAAATCAAGATCATTGCCTATATTTTAATTTATTTAGTCCTTTATTTAATATCTGTTAATGAAGTTTTATGATTTTCCCTGCAGAGGATTTGCAGTCTCTCACTGGACTTACTGCTAGGTACTTCACATTTTTTGAGGCAATTTTAAATGGAGTCTTTGTTTTTTAAGTTTTATTTTCTAACCGTGATTGTTGTTTTCATGGAAATGCAATTGATTTTGAATTTCAGTCTTGTTCAACTCTTTTTTTTTTTTTTTAGATTTTTATTGGGGAATTGGGGGAAGGGAACAGACAAATTGCTGTCTTTTTGTTCTTCAGTCTAGTTGTGGAGGATGTTGCTTCACTAGACCAAGTTGGCACCATCATTGCAGTCTTCCTGGGTGAGGCAGATCGGTCACTGGCTTCTGGACGGCTGCTCACTTTGGCTGCTGGCCGCTCACTGGCTGCTGGCTACACACGGTAGCCCATGGCAACCCACTGCAGCAGGGACTGCAGCCTACCCCGTCGCTGGTGACTCACTGGCAGCCCAGCTCCAGGTTGAGCTGTTGTTCAGCATCTTAGCTGTAGAGGGCAGTGCCACTGGCCCTCATATGGGGGATCCGAACTGGGGCCCTCTGGCGTCCCAAGCCAGCTCTTAAACAATGCGCCACTCGGCCAGCCCATCAACTCTTATTTCTGACAGTTTTCTGTAGATACTTTCAGTTTTCTATATTCACAAACATATCATTTATGAATAATTAGTTTTGTTTCTTTCTTGCCAATCCTTACACCTTTTATTTCTTTCTCTTGCTTTCCGTCTCTGGCTAGGACCTCCAGTACATTCCTAAATAGAAGTGGTGATGGAGGACATCCTTATCTTGTTCCTGAACACAAAGGGAAAGCTTTCACTATTTGACCATTAAGTATGATGTTTGTTGTAGATTTTTTTGTAGATACCTTTTAGTAGATTAAGAAAGTTCCTTCAGTTTCTGTTGTGTTAAGTAAGAGTTTATATCTTAAATGGATGGTAAATTTTATTAAATACTTTTTTTCGTATCTGATTAGATGATCATAAGGTTTTTTTCCATTAATCTGTTAATGTGGTGAATTACATTAATTTAGTTTTGAATGCTCAATCAATCTTGCATTCTTGTGATTAACCAACTTTTTCATGACCCACTTGGTCATGATCTTTTCCTTTAATTTTGGTCATGGTCTTTTAAAAAAATTGGTTTATTCGGTTTGTTAAAATTTTGATCAAGATTTTTTTTGTTCATGTGTGTAGTTAATCTTTAATTTTCCTTTTGTATAATGCCTTTGGGTTTTTTTTGTTTGTTTTATAAAGATTTTATTGTTTTATAAAGATTTTATTGGGGGGAGGGGAACAGCGTTGTGGAATCGGGGAAGGGGAACAGACAAGTTGCTGTCCTTTTGTTCTTCAGTGTAGTTTGGAGGACGTCACTTCACTGGCTCATGTTGGTATTATCATTGCATTCTTCCCGGGTGAGGTAGTTGCTCGCTGGCCATTGGACGGCCACTCAACGGCGGTTCACAAAAGCTCACGCCAGCTGCCGGCCTGCCCCACTGCAGCCTACGCCTTGCCGGTGACTCATGGAAGCCCAGCTCCAGGTCGAGCTGTTGTTCACCATCTTTGCTGTAGAGGGCGCAGCATCACTGGCCCTCATGTGGGATCTGAACTGGGGCCCTACTGCTCAGAGCTGGCGTCCCAAGCCAACTCCTAACCAACGCGCCACTTGGCCAGCCAAAAGTCTTTTCAAAGAATTCGTTTTGGGCTCTGATTTTTCTCTGTTGCAGCATTTCTCAAAAATTATTGAAGACTCTAAAGAGTTTTATGTGGGCTATGTATGTTTATATATTTGTAAATTTTTCTCAGTTTTTAAATTTAAACAGAAAACTTAAAAAAATGTACAGATATTTATTCATTTAAAATAATAATAATAAACTCGTTGCACGTTAACATTAAATAACATTCCTTAAAGGAAAAACAACTATATCTTTTAGAACAAATTTAGTGAGATGTGAATGACATTGTTTAATCAATTTGCAAATTTCCATTAAATGTCTGGTTAAAACAGCTGTATTCTCATATCTACTTCTAAATTCAGTCTAGCATAATATGTTGGTTGAAGTAGAATGAAATCCAGTCTCACACAGATAGGGAATTTGAAATGGGAAGAATATTTTAATAGCTGTTTCAAATTGTTATGGATAATCTTTGGTAGTTTAGCAGATCTCAAGTATTGTTATAAAGACTAGTTATAGTGGTTATGAAATCAGAACCATATCAGTATACTTACTGATACTCTTCTTACTGTGGTATATTAAAGTTTATTGGTCTGTCTTGCATATTGGATGGATCTTTTTACTCATGCATACTTTTGTAACACCATGCTTTGATCATTCGGAAAATAGAATTTCACTGAGTTATGCACGTCTTCCAAATATTGACGTTATACCATTATATGATACCAAAAACCACATTTGTTGAAATCACCACCAGTCTCATTAGAAAAGTCTTTAAGTAGTGAGATGCTGTCAGGCTCAAGACAGTAGATATAAATTTGCCAAATTCCCAGTTCTTCCTTGAAAAGTTGAATTTGATCATTGGCAACA